TAGCAGAAAATTACCAGCTAAGAAAGGCAAACACTCATATCATAAAACTACAGAAGCTGTCTTTGGAATGGAGGGAAGCTTTCATTTATTTAAATAATATGCCATTTAAATAGTAAAAGTGTGATAAATTTGACGTAAAAATAACCCATTTCCTTGCTCCATCATAGCCAGAACGTGAATCATGGTCTCAAAAGAGTTCTTGGGGCAGTTTACTCACATGCACGGTGTCCCATTACAAACCCATGACACTCATGGCAAACCTAGAAGGCCCAATGTATGCCCACCAACCCCAGTACAGCTGCACTGGGATCATGCTTCTTCAGAACATGGAAGAACCACTCAGACGGCAAATCAAGGTGATCGGATCCATAGCAATGAAGAGAATGCAGTGCATTTGTGATCTTGAATGTGCTGTGGATTGCTTCCTCTTACACGTCTACACCTCATATTTAAAAAAAAATACTCAAGGTGTAATTTTCCAATTAAAAAAAAAATCACTCAGTTTGATTTGTAACTCCCAGAACAGCAAAACAAAATTGCATAAGCCCTCCATGTTTTCCCAATTAAGATTTCTTTTTCTTTTCCCTAAAATCCTTGTGGGGTAGAGAAGGGGAGAAGGTACCGGTATAGTAGAAATAGACAGGAAAAAGTCCATTTAAAATGCCGAGTGAAGAGTCAAAGGCTACAGCTCTTGATCTCACAGGTAACAAGGGCAGGTTCCCAATCTTGCAAAACCAGAGACAAGAACAATCTCTCTCTCCACACTCAGGATGTGAAGTCTGGTTTAAGAAGTGAGGTTCATATGCCACACTGGTTTGTTCTGCTCCTAATTCCAGTGAGAACAAAAAGGAAGGACTAAAGCCTTGCTCCTCACGGTGCAGCACTCAGACCAGCAGCATCAGCATCACAGAAGAACTTTTCAGAAATGCAGACTCTCAGGCCCAACTCTAGACATATTGAATCAGAGGCTGCACTTGCACAAGACGCCCAGGTGATTCCTGGACACGTGGAGGCTCGTGAAGCACTGCTCTAGAGGACCTGGAATGAGCAGGTGGACAGCTCATGCCTTCCTACTGAGGATGTTTACTTCTCCACAAATAAATTCACCACCCTTTCCAGTAGTACAACTTCTACCAGACTTGGGGAAAAAAAAAATGGACTTTGAAGCCCTGTTCTGCTACTTACCAGCAAGTTACTGAACTTCTCTGAGTAACTTCTCTTTACCTAAAAAAACTCCACTATTTTCAAGAGCTTTTAGGAGAATTTGAGACGGCAGCGTAAGGATGCCCAGGCATGTGCACAGCACAAGGCTGAAAACTGCTTCTGACTCAGCAAGGAAATATAAGATCTGCAAACGTTGCTTCAACATTGAAAGAAAAATGCCAATTTTCCCAAAGTTAGCATGTACATTGCATGCAATTCCAAAAGAAATCCCGACAGATATATATATATATATTTGTGTGTGTGAGGAAGATTAGCTCTGAGCTAACATCCGATGCCAATCCTCCTCTTTTTGCTGAGGAAGACCGGTCCTGGGCTAACACCTGTGCCCATCTTCCTCTACTTTATATGGGACCCCGCCACAGCATGGCTTGGCAAGCAGTGCACAGGTCCGCGCCTGGGATTCAAACCCGCAAATCCCGGGTCACCGAAGCAGAGCACAGGAACTTTTATTTGCTATGCCACGGGGTCGGCCCCTGACAGATATTCTTAATTGTGTAAAACAATGTTAAAGCACATATGGAAAAAGGAACCTTAACTAAGACAAGAAAGGTAGGTGCTTTAAAAGAACAGAAGAATATAAGAGAATATATAAAATTCTAGAAAAAAATTCTATTAAAAATAACGTATAAAAATTTGTTTATATATTATATAGCAACAGATAAATGAAATTGACAAAGAAGAGGGCAAATCTGAATGGTAAATATGCCCCAGTAGATAGTTGTATGTCATAGCTGCACATCCTTCTAGTTGCTGTATGTGGGACGCGGCCTCAGCATGGCTGGAGAAGCAGTGCGTCGGTGTGCACCCAGGATCCGAACCCGGGTTGCCAGTAGCGGAGCGCGCGCACTTAACCGCTAAACCACGGGGCCGGCCCTAAATATGAAATATTTAATGAACATGAATTCTGAAAAGAAATTATATATTTGAAAATATATAAAATGATGCTCATGTCCAATGGTGGTGGAGGAAGTAAAAAATAAAGTAACAGTGAGATAATACTTTAAACCTTTCAGATTGGCAAAAATTAAAAAGTGCCATAAAACCAACAACATGGCAGCAAATATTTGTGTACATAGGATGGGGTGTATTGGTGCTTTTATTTCTAGGGGACAGAGTCCCAGGACAAGATTGCTGGGTCAAAGAAGCATAGCAGTGGTAGAGGTAGTAGCAATATCAATCACAACAATAACAATTACTACTATTACTACTACAAAGATTCCTTTGACTCAGCAATCCACCTCCTGGTAATCTATTTGAGCATCACTATGGTAGTAGTAGTAATAACAGCTCCAAGTACTACTACGTACTACTGTTGCTGCTACTGCTACATAGATAGCACTTCTTAAGTGCCACCGTTCAAGTGCTTTATATTCATTAACTCTAATTCTCACAGCAACTCTAAAAAATAGGAACTATCACTCCTATTTTACAGACTAGGAAACTGGGGCACCAAATGCACCTGGCAAACATAAGAAGAACTCCATAAATGTTAGCTATTCTGTTCCTGTTGTCGTTACATATCCTCTGACGCAGCAATCCCACTCCTGCGACTCTAACCCAATGAGAAAAACAATTTAACAAAAAATATTTTGAGTGTGCCTATGAATGTACATGAATGGGTGTATGTGCACAGGTGTGGGTAAATATATCTTTGTATGAAATAAAGAAAAATACAGAGGGTTCACATACTAGGTGGTTCACATGGATTTTTTTTTTTTTTTTGTGAGGAGGACTAGCCCTGAGCTAACATCTGATGCCAATCCTCCCCTTTTTCCTTGAGGAAGACTGGCCCTGAGCTAACATCCATGCCCATCTTCCTCTACTTTATATGGGACGCCGCCACAGCATGGCTTAACAAGCGGTGCGTCCGTGCGTGCCCGGGATCCGAACCTGCGAACCCTGGGCTGCCGCAGCGGAGCACGCACACTTAACCACTTGCGCCACTGGGCCAGCCCCTCGCATGGATTATTTTGTTAGAGGGGATGTGCTAGCGGGAGCAGAGGAGGGCTGGAGAAAGAGGGAAGCAATCTCACTAAATAAACAAATGAGAACACGCACACAGAAAGTGAGTATGCTGAAGTACAGGATAACAACAAAGAAATAACACTTTACATTCTTTGGAGACACAAAGAGCCCTGGAAGAGTTTGAGGAACAGGTGTTTTTAAGCATATTTCATTACTCAGAGGAGCAGGATTTTTGTTAAATGATTTAGGGTTATTTCCCCCCCTATAATAATTCATAATATACATTATTAAGAAATTTTCCAAAGCATTATCCTTTGCTGGACAGCAACAACAAATCCTAGTAATTCCGAGGTCCAGAACTCAGTAATCGTCCATGTAAAGTCACTATTTAGGGACAAGGAAGCGGAGTTCTGCTCCTGGCACTGTCATCATTGGGCTCTTTACTGTCTGGCAAGTCACTAACCTACACTTAGTCTTCTCATCCACAAAGTACGGAAGTTCAACCAGGTCATCTTTAAATCCCCTTTTAGTTATAAAAATGTGATGATTCTATAATTAAAATGCATAAAGTAGAAAAGTGAAAAACTAAGTAAATAGGAGTGCTAATTATACATTTTAAAGAAACAAAGTTTGAAATCTTAATACTTTATAGCTAAGCGGGTAATTTAATGACCCACTTAAAAATGTACATTTTTAGAATTAAAAACTGCAATAAGATCAACTAGTGATTTTACATTTCCAAGTGGTGACTATAATTACTCGACACTTTAATTTTGATGTTGAGAAAAAAATGCTGCCAGTTTAGATATCTTTCAGATTACTCACTGAAGCAAACCTTAATTTGTCACCTTAAAATAGAGCCATCCATAAGGAGTAATTCAACCAAAGTATGATCCTCCAGAGACCACATGTAACAGCCTATAAAAAAGGCTAGTTAATGCCAGCCAGTCAGCCAAATAAATTATGTATTAAATTTTCTAACAGAACATTTTGAATATAAATTATTAATAGAACACAAAATTGGAAAAAAAATTGTCTGCTTAAGCATGACAGCTTCCTGAAGCAATTCAAAGTTTTAATTTTTATATTTTCCTCATAAGTTTATGAGAATAATGTGATTATTAATAACACTTAATGAAAATTTATGCCTGGGTGCAAAGCATAAAAAGTCACTAACTCATAGGGCATAAAGATTTCCATGAGCTTGTTAAATTTTATGTATTTTATTTCCTTAAATGGTTATGGGATTTTCCAAAAGCATAACAAAATTCCTTAAAACTTTGCCAACTTAAAAATACTTACATGAAACCACCTTTTCAGACTGTTTGGAATCTCCTAGAAAAATGTACCCAGTCTTCTGATAGGATATCTAGGTATGAATTCCTACAAAAACATGGCGAGGCTGCTTGCCCCAATCAGATTTTATAGGCTAGGATGATGTAAGGAAACAATTTATGGCTCACACAGTTATCTGAAATTCCTGAAAACAAGCAGTTCCCTAAGTAGTATGTCATAATTTTCTTATCTACAAGCACAAGCACGTGCATTTATTTATATCCCTAGAGTAACTTCAAGTCTAATTTTACTGCCACTAGTATCCAGGGGTGGATTTCTTTTTTCTAATTACAAATGGAACTTGAGCTAGATCAAAGGCATTTTAAGGTCAAAATTTACTTCTCTGAGAAATAGAGGACGTGATCCTATGTAATTAATTAATGCTTAGCCATGCCCTTTGGCGTATTATGCGGTGGCTGTCGGAAACCGAGTCCAGCCGTCCCCACCTGTTGGTGCAGTGCAACTGTTTGACTTACCCAAAAGAGCAGATTGAGCGCGTAGAGCAGGCAGCGCAGGCACTTCACAGAGTCTTCTCTGGCCATTGTGAGCCCCGGGAGGGAGAAGCCCCATCCTTTCACCACATCCTACCCCCACGGGCAAAGCAGCAGCGATCTAGAAGGGGCGGGGGAGAACAGGGGATTTATGACCGCGCTCCCCACCCCCAGCCCATCCCTCCTGTGCCAGCCCTCAGCTGGATCCAGGGTCTGATCCAAAGCCTAGTTCATTCGAGACATCGCTTCATCGAAATCATTGGTTAAAGCTATAACAGTAACCTAAACTCTCAAAAGTTCCAAACCGGCTTCGGATAACACCTGCTGGCAAAAGAAAAGACTGACTCCCCGGATGAATGAAGGCACACAGTAAATTCCGGTTCTCAGGGGACACGCGGCGGTGTCCTCTGCATTCTGATGAGACGCTCTTTAAAACCTCCCTCAGTCCATGCCTCTCCTTGGGGACAGCTCTGCTCAGAACTGTCCTGAAGGTTAGAAACCACACTACCCCTCGGACGTCACAGGCGCCGCCGGCGAGTCCGAGCGTGCGAGTGTCGCTCTCATTAGGACAGTTCCTGGGCCCCCTAACTCTGCACCCCTCACCCCATCCCGCAGCTCGAGTTGAGCGCGGGGCACTGGAGGGGGCGCAGCGCTGAGCTGGGATTCCGCCCGGCGACTAGGGTTTCTTTGGGAGAACGTGAGAAATGATGTTTCGGCCCGGGAATGATGGATTAGCCTGGGGCGGGGGGGCGGGGCGGGGCGCAGGGGAATTAGGGCCGGTGCAGCTGTGCAGACGCCGGGTTAGTCATTCACGTCCCCCTCCCCCGGCCCCCGCCGCTGCGGCGACCTCGCGCTCCGAGCTGCCGGAGGAGCACAAAGCCGAGCGCGGTCACCGGCCCCGCCACCGCGGCCGCGCGCCCCCGGCAGGGCGCGGGGGGAAGCGCCGGCGGCGGGGAGCTCCAAAGCCAGCCTCTAAGTAGTTTAGCACACAGCGCCCAGGGCAGCCGCCGGCGGGCTGGCGGGACAGCGGGCAGGAAAGACGAGAGACGCGCGGCCACTCACCGTCGGCGCTGGGCTCCGTGCCCCAATCCCGCCGGGGGACAGTCGGGGACGCACGGCGGGGGCTCATCGGGGCAGGGACGCTCCTCCCGGAGAGCCGAAGGGCTGCATAGACTCAAACTGGAGACGCTTCCTTCTCTTCCTCTCCCCCCGCCGCCGCCGTCGCCGCCTCCTGGGAAAAAGAAAAAAAAAAAAAAAAAAGAGCCCTGGGCAGCAGTTGCTGGAAAGTCTCTGCTAAGCCACCTCCCAGCGCCGCTGTCCCTCCCAAGTCCTCGCCAAGTCCGGACGAGGCAGCGGCAGCAGCCAGGGCCAGCTGCACAAACTCTCAGCGCATGCTCGGGCCGCCGGCTGCCGGGGTTGGATCCTAATGGGTGTTGCTTGTCCCCTCGCCAGGCTTGAGCCCACGGAGGGACGCCTCACCTCTACAAGGTCCAGAAAGACATAAAGCGTAGGGACTTTGGAAAAGTCCGCGCAGTAAACCCCTGTAAAATGGTGGTGTCGGTGGAGGGGAGGCTGGGTTATAACCATGGGGAAACAGGCTTTTATTATATGAAAATATTTGTGTTTGAGAAGGGGGGCGAAGGAGTGGCCCAACCCAATTCCTGCAATGAGAAACTAGTTTTCAAAACCTTTCTGGAACCACCTCCTGTGATTTGTCACTAACATGGTGCCCTATGAACCTTCTTATTGCTTTGTTGCCCTCCCTGGTTTAAAAAAAACAGTTCCTACCCACTTCCATAATGCACTAATAGCATTTAAGTCATCACCAGAGTAGATGTGTCCAGATCTGACGTCCAGAATAGGAAGAACATTTTTAACTCTTTCACAAGCGATCCAAAGTTTCCAAAACTTTCTCCCAATAAGATTTGAGTTTTAACTGAGTGATTTACGTTGAACTGTGTACATAGGGGTTTTGAATATTTTTAAAACTAAAAATTCAGGAAGTATTAAAGTAATAATAGGAGACTATCCTTCCAAAATTACCTTCCCTTGGAAGTAAGAAGTTTCACACTTAAAAATCACTGGCTCATATTTTCCATATAAAATTTTGATGTTTTATGCCTCATGAGAGTCCACATTGTTATGATACTTTTGTGCGCACTGTGTGGCAGATAAAACCTCACTAATAAATATGAATTACCTGAAATACAAGCAACATCTTTGAGAAAATCTAATGGGAGTTCTCTTTAAATTTCCTTGTGGGAGAAAAGAAAATGGGAGTCCATGTCCATCACCACCTGTCTAGGGTCAGTTGCTGCATGACCAGAGTGACAATGAGACACACACTCTCATTTGGGTAGCAGTAAAATGAAGACCAAAAAACAACCTGAGTGTTCTGGGTTCAAGTAGGAAAATTCTTGGTAAGTAAGTCACTAAGCCATACACAAGGCAGCAAGCCCAAAAGAGCACAAAGATAGCCATCCACACAAAACACCAAGAAACATGTCCAGTCGTCCATCAGATGACTCTAACTCTGGCAACAAAGTACCTTCTGGAATCATGGAGAAGAGCAAAGAAACCCACTTATCCTCAATCAGTTTCTGCTCAAATTACAATGTACACCAGTTCTAAGCAGAGGACTGCCAAAACAGCCAGCCATCTGATTGCTTGTGGTGTGGTACATTCCTCGGAGTGAAAGAGACCTTTCCACATTGAGGGGAGTCTATGATTGCCACTAAAACTGACAAAAACAGTGCAAATAATTCCCATGTCTCTGAACAGAGATCCTCTTCTACTGCTAGCAAGCAGTTAAGCGCCTTTTAATCATAAATCTTTAAGGGCTCTAGAATAATAAAATTTTAAAGGAAGGTGCTTTAGAAATATGTATGCCCCCTTTCTTTTTAGTAAATAAGGAATATGGAAGCGAGAGAAGTTAAAGGAGTTGCTCAACGTTACATATCTAGTTAAATCAGATTCCAAACTAAAATCCAGCATCATGCTCTCTAGTACTCTAGTTCAGTGATTCTCAACATTGCTGTACATTAGAATCACTTAGGGAGTTTTCTGTACAAAGGATCCTAATGCTCAGGCAGTACCCCACCAAATAAATTGGAATTTCTGCAGATATGGCCTGGGCATCCAGATTTTTCAAAGTTTGCAAGGTAATTCTAATCTGCAGCAAAGTTTGAAAACCACTGCAACCAGCATTTTATGGATGACTGAAAACGAGCAAAGGAGTCTCTTCAGGTTTAGCTGGATCAAATCCCACATCTGTGAGTTGATAAATTGGGATCAGTATCCCCATTTTACAAGTTAAGACCAAAACGGAGCTGTAGTTACTGCCATAATATTCCTAATGAGTGGTCATCAGAGTGTGTGAATCAGCATTTCAGTAGAGACCTTACCACATTTGAGGCACTGCAGTACTAGATAGTTCTGATTGCTTACACCTAACCATACCTCTCTGTAATTTCTACCCCTCAACTCTGGTTCTGCCTTTTGGAGTCCACAGCAGAGCGATCCTTCTCCCGTCTGACAGCCCTTCAACTCCATGAGGGCAGCTGCTGCTCCCTTCCTCTCCAGTTCTTCTCTTCTCCAGGATTACAGAAGCCCTACAAGACTTGACATCACAGCTGTCATTCTATGGGCTCTATATTTTTCTCTGTGAGAATAACTTTTTTGTGCACAAAGGTAGGATAGAAAAATCCCAAAATGGACATGACAATTTGAATGTATAATAACACGTCAGGAAGATTATATGGTTTATTCACTGCCCATGAGATAGGAACCCAATTCTATGGCCGTGTAGGCTTCATTAAGTACTTTTTGTGTGTAGCACCTATCGTGTCACATGTGGAAGATACTGAGAATAAGATGGGTCCCTATCCTCCAAGAAAAAGCAAAACTACTCTTTTCAGTTTAGAAAATAGTAACAGCTACTATTTACAAGCAATCAGTATGTGTCAGTCCCAGAATCAGGAGTAAAACCTAGCTAGCTCTGCAGTAAGGTAATACAAGTTCCTCACTCCACAAGGCAACTCATTTGTCCATGTCTTACTCCACTCATTCCGCTCAAGTTGTGCAGAGAGAAGGAGCAGCATAGGTATTTGGTAAGAGGAATGAGTTTCTTTTTCTTCTTAGTATAATACCCTTGTAATACACTTAAGATAGTTCTTCACGATCAATACAGGAAAGAGACCTAATATGTTTTGAGCAAGTCATATGTGCCTGACATAATAGGACCTTCTCATAATGTATCTTATTAATTCCTCATGACTACACAGCAAGATACTGAGACTCAGATAGTTGCTTTCTCCAGGACCATACAGGCAGTAAGTAAAGAAACTGAGATTCTAAGATCTGTCTGACTCTTTCCAGTGTTAATCTGCCTTACAATAATATTTCAAATCTAGGTGTAGATTCATTGACAAGCCTCAGGAAGAAAAATATTCTAGGCATTTTTTGTTAGTTCTTGAGAATATGAAGCTGAATTTCAAATATGTATACTGAAACTATGACTGGTAAATCTACTTTCACCTTTTTTTTTTTTTAATAATTTTATTTATTTATTTTTCCCCCAAAGCCCCAGTAGATAGTTGTATGTCATAGTTGCACATCCTTCTAGTTGCTGTATGTGGGACGCAGCCTCAGCATGGCTGGAGAAGCAGTGCGTTGGTGCACGCCCGGGATCCGAACCCGGGCCGCCAGCAGCAGAGCGCACGCACTTAACCGCTAAGCCACGGGGCCGGCCCTACTTTCACCTTTTATTTCTTTTCTTTTTTTTTTTTTGTGGGGAAGATCAGCACTGAGCTAACATCTGATGCCAATCCTCCTCTTTTTGCTGAGGAAGATTGGCCCTGAGCTAACATCGGTGCCCATCTTCCTCTAATTTATATGGGACACCGCCACAGCATGGCTTGACAAGCAGTGCGTCGGTGCATGCCCGGGATCCGAACCAGTGAACCCCGGGCCGCGGCAGCGGAGTGTGCACACTTAACCTCTTGCACCAGTGAGCCGGCCTCCACCTTTCATTTCTGAAAGAGTATACCTAATAGGACCTGAGACAGCCTTTTATGACCAAATTAGGTAGACTTCTCTCAACAACAAGCTTAGCATTGGCAAATAAAACACAGAATGCCCAGTTAGATTTGAATTTCAGATAAACAGCAAATAATTTTTTGGTATTATAAGGATGTCCCGAATAGCATGGGACAAATATTGCATTGGACATACATATATTAAAAAGTTATTTATTGTCTGAAATTCAAATGTTAAGTGCACATCCTAGATTTTTATTTGCTAATTCTGGCAACTCTGTGCAAACTAGAAGATTCAACTCCAAGTGCCACAGCAATAAAGATATAAGTAAATATGTTATTTCACATAACAGTAAGTCCAAAAATAGCAATTCATCCAATGGCATCAGGGAATCAGATCTTTTTCTACGTTACTCTTCTGATATACACAATGTGTCAGCTAATGTCCTTGGGCTACCTCTTCTCACGATCTCAAGATGGCTGTGCAAATGCAGGCATTGCATACAGTTATAACGTCTTCTAGAGGAGGAAGAAACTATTTCCTCCTAAGGATCTCTCCTAGAATCAAGGAAACCTCTCTGAGAAGTTTTGCAGCAGGTTATCCCCTATGATTAATTAGCTAGAACCCCATCAGGTTCTCACGTGTGCACCAATTATTGGCAAGGAGGATGGGTCTGCTGTGACTGGTGTAAAACAATCAGGATGCATTCCCTGTGCCTGGGGTAGCTCTTTTCTGAAACACATGGCCAAACAGAGGAGGGTAAATAACTGAACACAGTCAGATCTCATTTGAACTGAGGGGTGGAGAAAGGAATGGATGCTACCATCCTTTCTCCTATTCACTGCTAAAACAACTCAGCTTTCAGCCAGCTATTTCTGCAGCTCTACTCAGCGAAGGCCCTTATGCTGAGAGAACCACTGAAGTAAGAACCTACTGGCAACAGCAAAAGATGCTAAGAAAACTCGAATCCCATCGTTTCCATCCCATGACATAAGCTTATATCCTGTACCCACATTTGCCTTTGTACACGGTACTATTGATTAAAGGATTGCCCAAATCAGCAGCCTCATAAAAGCCCTTAGACGATTTTCCTCTTAAAGTTTATCCAAACCCAGCCTCTGGACAAAGTTCAGAGATTTGAACTCGTTTCACCAGCTGACATTGGTACAAATAATCCAATTCTATTTAATAAATATTTATTGAATTGTTACTACAAACTCAGAACTGTACCGGGAGATACCAAAAGTTCTAACATAATTTTGACTCTCAAAGAATTTATAACTCTCTTAGCATACTTCCTCTTCACAAAGTGAAACTTATAAAACTTAAGAACTC